CAAAATAAACGGAAATAAAATAATTTTCTTTTCTTTGCCATAGTCTGTCTGTGTTACATTATTGGTGCATTCCTTGTACTTACTTGTCAATTCAATAACCCTACCTTACCGTAACTAGTTAAATTATGTCAAGACACCGATACGTTGGCATGGTCGGCACTAAATGGGCTCTAAGGGTACGGCCAGAGTGCACTCAGATTCAGATTCAGACTCAGAAAACAAGCGCGAGAAATAAACAGTGTAGTTAAAGCAGGGTGGCCATAGTGGCAGCAGGCAACCTGCTTAAACTACACTGTATATTTCTCGCGCTTGTTTTCTGAGTCTGAATCTGAATCTGAGTGCACTCTGGCCGTACCCTTAGACCGATACAGTCGACCTGTCTGAAAAATATCTCTTTGATTTTCGATGCTGATGAGTCATCAGAATCGCAACGCTAAATCAGCTGTTTAAGGTCGTCAATTGTTTTTTTCTGAAACAACTATGTCTACAAACAAAAGAGCAACGACAGTTATTTTAGTTTTTCATGTAGATAGTCGATGCCATATCAAGTTTATCGGGGATTTTTGTAACACACTGTATAAATAAAAGCTTTTATTTTTTTGGGATGGGAAATGAATTAAGTATCTTACAGACAGAAGCAGCCTGCGGCCAGTTGTATGCTCTTGCAAAGTAAGCGAGTGTTCAAATACGAGTGATCGATAAAGACGAGAGGCGGCCGCAGGCCGTCTCTGTCTGTGAGACCCTTTACTTTTTTTTGTTACGCATCGTTTTACGAGATATGTAAGTAAACCATTGCCTACCTATTCTGCAAAATAATCAATAACAAAAAAAAAATACTTTCGATGTTGAAGTATATGTAAAAGGTTCTCTGTCTATGCAGGTGGATTAACCACATAAAAAAACATAAATATGACATAGCAATGTTACAACTTACGTAGTCCTTATAATTATTCAAAAAAATATATGTTCTTTATTACTTATATATTTTTTTTAAGTATTTAACTGCTAGATGTTTAAATCTAAAGATATTTTTAGTAGAAAAACTTTTTACTAGCAAAATTTTCTTTATTTAAATTCATATTAATCCTATTAAAAAATCTCTCTCTCTCTCTATTATTTTTCATAAGCACAGTACAGTCAACCATATTTACCTTATTTTTTTAACACTATTTATTATTTCAAAATGTGAAAGAAAATAAATACGACGCAAGTGTTCCGCGTGCCCTGCATTTGAGCACTGGCACTATCGTCACACTGACATTCGAACGTGACAGCACAGCACACACAGACAGACGATGAGAAAATTACGTAGAATTGGTAAAATTTGCATATGAAAAGTACGTAGATCTACGTACTTTTTTCTGAGTGAAATGAAGAAGTTAGGAGAAACCGAATAAAACGAGTATTTGGACAATTTATTTAAAAACGGGAGATAGAACAAAGAGTTCTTGGAGAAGTCGCTGCATTGGAAGCATTAACCATGCTGTGGTAGACATTTACCATCAGACACAGACACTGGTAGGTATCGATTCTGGCATGATTCTCTAAATTTCAAACTAAATTTAACATCAGTCTCTCCTTTTCATTCTGTGGAGAAGTCGCTGCATTGGAAGCATTAACCATGCTGTGGTAGACATTTACCATCAGACAGACACTGGTAGGTATCGATTCTGGCATGATTCTCTAAATTTCAAACTAAATTTAACATCAGTCTCTCCTTTTCATTCTGTATAGAGAATGACAAGGATGCAATGTTGTTAAATAGGCTAGTTGACACTTTTTGCAATTATGTTTTAAATTGTTAATAATTGTTCTATCAGACCGAAAAAAATGATTTTTTTTTACCTAGAAGACATACAAAAACGCTATTTATCTATAGACTTATCTATACTATGACGTCAAAACATTTGTAAACAAACACTCGCAAGCATGTAGGAAATAAACTTTCTGAGTTAATATTACAAAACCATGATTTTTAATAGATCACATGAAAAATATAGTAGTTATCATGATACACTTGGTAAAAGACTCTAGAAAAGTTGTGGTTTAAATTGCCAAGAGAAATAAACATACTTACAGATGAACACAATCATGTTTAAAACTTGCTAAATCCTGTAACTTTATCGACTGAAAGTCATTTCTTTTTGCCAAGATCAATTCAATGCAAGTACTCATTGAATAAGATTTAAAGTTTAAAAATAATCATTTTAACCTACTATATCAAAAAGTTTTGTCGTTTCTGCTTTCACAAATCCTGGGTCCAGCATTCATTTAGTCAACAAATCCAATAACGGGAACCTTTTCTACAAGAAACAAGAGTTTTTAGATACATCTTTATGAGAAATAAACATTTGTATAGTTTATAAGTAAAGTAACGGAAAATATTCTTCTTTATTCTAGGGAATTAAGTTATTTTACAAATTTGAGAAAATTGAAGAAAATACGTAGATTCTGGGACTGAAGTTAGTAGGTTTGCAGAAAAGGCCTAAAATACTTAGATCTACGTAAAAAGACGTTGAGTTGGCAACACTGCGTGACAGGCAGTCAGTGCTCACTCATACACGCGTCATTAATTTGATATCATAGAAATGTAATGGATTAATTGTGACACTTATGAGACCATTTGCTAATTTCAACGGGAATTGTTGCAAGAAAGAATCAAAGTTAATCTTTGAAAATATAGTACACAATTATAAAATATTAAACCACATTGACTTTAAGATAAGGTTAGAATTAGTAACAATATTGTAGGTAACAGAATTATTTACTGTTAGAAAAAACATTCAAGATCATGAACTGTAGCTTTTTCAGGTTGTACAGTGTTTTATGATTCTTAATACCATTTCTAAGAATCAACATTGCAGTATAGTGCCTTAGTAAATATTCTTGAATCCCATGTTACATGAAATAACCTTATACCTTCAAGGCATTATTGAGTTCACTCGCTTCACTTGCAAATCCTTAAATTATATTAAGCTTAAAACATCAGTCATTAACAAAAAGACTTGAAGTCAATGGATATAAAATGAGGCTATAAATGTATGAAGCTTGGGCAGTCGGATTCTAAAACATTGGGTTGCTAACACAGATCAACGGAAGAGGTTAGAAGGGTGATCGTAGACCAATTGTATGGGGAACTGATGTCGCCGACTCGCCCTCTCTACACTTCCACCTAATAGATAATAGCCAATCAAACGACGCGACATCAAGCAATCTAACGGATCAGTGATCACACCCCAAGAACAATGACTCAATCAGAACCAAGATTTGGTCAAGTTATGAGCATTTGCTCACACAACTGTGGCGCGCCTGCTCCGCCCACATGGCCCTTCTAACCTCTTTCTGTGTTCTGTGGTTTCTAACCATTTAAGTGGCTTGGATTGTCATGTGTATATCTATAGAATTCACTGCCGGATACTATTTGATAGGCTTACACTCTAAACTCATTTACTGAATAAGTTCACTGTTATTCCATATTCCTTAAAATTTTCTTTTCTTTCTCTTAGTCTAGAAATCTAGATGATTTATTTTTTATTTTTAATGTTTATTATTATCAACTATTACTGGGACGACTCTTTCCTATTTATTTAGCTTTCTATTATGGGTTTGCCCGAAAGAGATTGCTGTCTTACAACAAGGCCACTGATTTGGTATATGTTCTGTATTTCATAGTTTATTTAGAATATTAATAGTGACGATTTTGGCATGGTTTTCTAAACTTAAAACTAAAATTAACATCAGTCTCTCCTTTTCATTCTGTATAGAGAATGACAAGGATACACCATTGACAAATTTAAGTTTAGGTTTACAGATTCAAACCAGAATCAACACCATTATCATTTTAACATTATATTTTTATGTACTGATATATAATATACATATATTTTCTTTCAATTCTTTTAAAAACTTTGGTAAAAGTCGAACCTAACGTAATAATCTATTGAGATGTTGTTATGTAAAGTGAGGTTTAACATTAATTATTTCTTAACTGAACTGAAATTGCACTTTTGATTCTTTGACAATCTCAACATTCCCTCTGCACAGCACTTGTTAAAATTACTGATTTGTCCAGTTTTGCCTAATTAAAATCATATTAATAAAGACCTTATCTGTTATAAAAAGCTATTATCATTATGAGTTCAATAAATTTTACAAATGTCAACAGTTAGATAAATAATCAATAGATAATTACAAGAGACATTATAGATTTGTATAGCAATGCTCATTAATTGTTAATTTGGCATATTTAAGAATACAATATTATATCAGACCAGTTAATAGTCTGAAAACTTACACATAACAACAAAAGTAAGGATTGTATGCAAAAAAATACTGGAGATATATCAAGAAATCAATCTATTTCCCTATCTAATAGGTTAGGTATACAAATTAGCTTTGGATAAGATGTTCAATGTTTAAATACATATATATATATATCAAAACTAAATCTAAAGAAATTATACTACAAAGAATTCCACCTTGTCCAGGTAGCAGACGGGGCTCGAACCCGCATCCTCCCCTATCCAAATGGATGCACTTACCAATTATGTTACTGTGAGGTTAATGGCTGTCAAATTCTTTCTAGTCTTTCTTAGACTGCAAGGCAGCACCATCTCTCTACATTGTAGGAAACCCACAATGTCAAATGAAATACTTTTACAAGTATTAAACATTCGAAAGAAGAAATAGCATTGCAGTTTATTACATTTATATTATATCTTTAGATTTCAACATGTAGCAGTTCAATGCATAAAATATAAAATAGAATTTATCAATATTGGTTTCAATGGTTTAATCAATGTTGATAAATTCTATTCTAGAATAAGTTAAATAAAATTTGAACATACATACACAAATTATTAAAATTAGGCTTTAAGCATATTGGCCACAAAATAATCAACTAGCACAGTCAGAGATTGTGATCTTTCGCAATAATATTGAGCAAGTAAGTAAATGGCAACTGGGTGTGAGGTGTTGCAACTAGCTAAACCAATACTCACCTAAGCAACAAATCAGGAATTTGAGGAATGTGAAGAAGAAAGCGTTGTAGAAATTGGCATCATAGTAGTTCACGTCCGAGTCAGTGACGTCAATGTGGTCAGCAGTCAGGTTGCTGAGGACCGGTAACTCCTCGCCGCTCGATACCGGCAGTCCCAAGCTAATTTTCAGGAACTCATCCACCACAAACAGCGGAGGCACCCTCAACAGCACCTCCACCAGAGCCAAGGCTTTCGACCTCAAAGACATTATTCATTTATGCAGTCCTTTGCACACGTTAGCACTCTCAATTTTCACCACCACGTCCGAAATAATGGATACTTGGCGCTTGAACTACAGTATATTTTTAGATCAATTTTGATTTTTTGGTGGGTTATTATAATCACGTAATATTTAATACGAAATTAATGAATGACTGAAATTTTTGCGACAATAAAAACTTGACAATATGAATTTTGGGTTGCCAAATAAAAATAGAATTGCTCCTAATTTTTTTGTTTTTTTTTAAATTACACATTTTTCAAAGACCAAGGATACATAGTATACACTGACTTGTCTTCAGTTTTTTTAAATAAATATTTTCTATGGAATTTTTGGTTTTGCTAGCTAAATATCTCTTGAACTTTTAGTTACACACGAATAATATCAAAACGGCTTTCTCAATGAGCTTCTATTATTGAGGTAGTCAGTATTACAACTAAGTTCTCAGTAGGTACCACAATGTTCCATGTAACCAAATAAAGGAGTCAGCTGGCGTGATTCTCTAAACTAAATTTAAGGTCAGTGATGTCGATTCTGGCATGATTCTCTAAAGCTAAACTTAAATTTGGCAACAGTGCATCCCTGTCATTCTCTATACGGAATGAAAAGGAGAGACTGATGTTAAATTTAGTTTTAAGTTTAGAGAAACACGCCAGAATTGACACCAGTCTCACCTTTTCATTCTGTATAGAGAAGGACTGCACTGTTGTCAAATTTAAGTTTAGCTTTAGAGAATCAAGCCAGAATCGAAATCACTACACTATTAAAACATTAGAACAATGGCCAGATTTCTATATGAGCTGGACTTGACTTTTATTTTTGATGTCCCTTAATAAACTATAGTGAGTATGGTTTGTTATTATGTTGTAAATACTATCCCGTTTGAAAATCTTATATAAATAGGCACGATTTATTAAAATATCGCCACTAATACTTTTGAGGTTAGAATCAACAAGTACCTTTTACCTAGGGCTGCCATCTCTAAGATGTGGCAACCAGGACAAGATGCGTGATAACCCCGGATTTTGGAGCCCAAAACCCGGACAGACCAATAAAAAACAGTTAAAAATATCACAAATCAACTTTTTTTATGTTGATGTAGGCAAAACAGCTAGAAGTCCACCTCATAATAAGTGGTCACTGCTGTCCATGGACACTTGCAGCAACAAGGGCCACTCAGTGTTGCCATGGCTCTGAACGAAAAGGTTCATCCGCCTCTTTAAGATTACCATATCATAGCTATTAAAAAAATACTGAGGCAAGTTCGTTCCAGATCTTACTGGTACGCAAAAGAAAGGAACACATGGTGCTCGAACGCTAGGCGTCCACATGGTGGGCGTTAAACTTCTCTGCGGTGTGTGGTGCTGTGGAGAAACTTGCCCACTGGCATCCGTTTGAATAATTCCTCGGAACACTCTCCGTTGTATAGACGGTACAACACGTATAAGCAGTTGCGTTCTTGTGCGTGTTGTACCGTCTGCGCATGCTAAGGGGTTGCAACGCGTCAGTGAGCTCAGGATCATCGATAAATCAAACTGTCCGCTTTTGTATCCGGTCAAGAGGAAGGAGCTGGTATTGGGGTGGTGCAGCCCAGAGGACCAGTGCTTTGTAAAGTAACACCCGATATTTAGGCTTGAGGTACTTACTAGGTCTATTAAGCACCCAAGCTTTTTCACACAAACTTGTGTCTTTGCTGGGTTAATCCAATCAAGTTATGTTGGCTTCAATTTGAGACTTGATCCAGTAACATCTCAATCTCGGACACAAGTCTTCATACCATTCTTCTTCCATCCGAGGGATGTTTGACCGACCAGTGTAAAAAGTGTCAGTGCTGTCATCCACATAGCAACGAATGCTGTTATTGCGTACAGCGTGAGCGCAGAACTGGGGGCCAATCGCCTTACGGAAATGCTTTGGAAAACGCTAACGCTTACGATTTTATTTTGTTATTCCTAGCCGCCTGAGGTATTCAAATGCCTCGCGCTCTTTCTTTTTCTTTTGCATTGGTAATAACAATATTAAAAAAAATGAGCGTGAGGTATTCGAAAACCTCAGGCGGCTAGAAATAACAATATAAAATCGTAAGCGTTAGCGTTTCCCAAAGCATTTCCGTTAGGCGATTGGCCCCCTGGGGGCCTTTCGCCTAACGTAATTAATAATGCAGACAATGTTAATTTAATTAATATTTAAAAAAATGATAATAGTCTGATAATAATAATTACATAATTTATCAACATTCCTAATGATATATTTATGCACATCTGAAATTGACTATCGTAAAAAGTTTAATGTAAAATATTTCGTCGATTAGTTATAATAAATGTATATGAAATGAATAAATATATATTTATATATGTATATTATTTTCATTAATTTGTTAATTTACCCTTTCATACAGTATTAATCTTTTTTAAGTTAAATAAACTCTTTTTGCGTCTGGTTAGAGGTTAGACTATCAAACTTAAGGAGTAAACTCCAGTCGTGCGTCGGAGCTGACACACACAAATTTTTTTTATTGAAAAGGTTTCTGTTAACCACATTATTTAACAAAGTGTTCACACTTATGCATTGGTACTTTCTTAGAAAAAAACTATTGAATTTTTTACTTTTCATAATAAATAGGTGCAAGACATGGAAGAAAGTGTAATGTCCCGATTTTGCTTTATCACGTTAGGCGTCAATATAAATCTGGCAAGGATTGCCCAATTACCCCGGCTAACGAATAGGGATGCATTAAGTGATGGTTTAATGAAACTGTACTTACTGAGACGATCGATCCTTTGTGGACTGGATATTTATTTACATTCTGATAATATTTTTCGTTTGTGTACATCTCACAAACATTGACTGTTTGTGAGATGTTCAAATCTCATATCAAAATGTACGAGATTTCTATTTACCTCGTATCATATATAGAGACTGTTAAATCTTGAATGTTAGTTCCCATACGTTTGGCAACCCTGCGCAGCGCAGCCTCGCCCGTGACAACACAGATCGTATGATAGCATCTTTATATGTCTGTTGCCAGGATTTGTCTGAGGCCTGGTAAAGGGTTAACATAGGCGTGAAAACCAATCTGGGACGAAAAACGTTTTGTTTTTTTGAGTACCATTCCTCAGGAAGCTAGCATTTTACTGGAATAAAAAGTATCATTATAAAAAAAATATAAGTATTATTATGTCTCACTCAATCCAGGTTATAAAATAGTATGTGTATCGATTTTACCAAAATCCGTTCAGCCGTTTTAGGTCAATTGTGTAACAAACTCACATTAAATTAAAAAATAATTAATAGCAGAATAGCAGCTGGTAAGTAGGTAGAGTCTGTGCGGAAAGAGAATGGGCGTGGCGAAAAACGGAACTAACATTATGATTTTTATTTGGCAATCAAACCCAGTAATCTGTAAAACGTCAAATTTTTTGTATTGAATACAGATTTGTTTGTTGTTGTGATTTCTTGCAGTTTTTTTTGTATTTAATCATGTCTAAAAGGGGTAAAACCTTACAACAACGGTAGAAAAGCACTACAGCGCCCTCCAATCTAAATTCCATTCTCTTTCCGCACAGACTCTAGGTAGCTAGCATAAATAGGTCGTCATACATCACAGATCCCTATATATGTAGCAAGCTATCATACATACTGCATGAAACGATGCAGAATAAGTAAAGTTTATGTAGACTAAATATATTCTTAGTAAGAACTTACCTTTTACGTTTTAATATGTGTATAATGAAGGTGAAATCAAAGTTAGACAAAAACTTGCTTTATAATTTCCACATTTTATTAATTTCCCATTTAAATCTTAATTACTACAATAATACTGGCCGGTTAGAATACTGCTTTAAGAAAACTATCTTTACATTTTAACAATAATTATCTATCTATAAGCAGTTTTGTTTAGATTAAGTGACTAGATAGTAGATACAAGTAAATATAAACGCGTAATATTTAATGGTACTTTGATCTGGTATGTTTATTAAAGTAGGAACATATATAAAATAGATATTTACAAGTACATTTAATCCTATTTACATAATAATTTTCATATTTTAAAATTTGGATGAGCATTTTATAAAATTGTTTTGTCGAATATGTAAGTACCTAAGTATAAACAATGAATTATTAATTCGATGTGTCAATTATATCTGTGCGCGAAAGATGTCCCTTATAATATCTAGCTGTACCCCCTTGGGGTGGAGAGCAAAGATTTTTATCGCAGCCATTTCAACCACTCAGGGCATATGGGGAAAGAATGCCGCTGGCAACCCCGAACTGTTAATTAGTTTCGTGTACACACATTTGTTAAAGTTTGGCGATTTGAAGCTTTGAATCCACAGAACACATTTCTATGTTTTGTTTGAACCAATAAATCCATTTTTTTTCTTATCAAATATTGTCATTATTATGATTTAAGTAAGTACCATCCGTTATTTGTTTTTTTTATACAAGGTGACTAAGTAGATATATACATATGTATTATATTTATAATAAATTAATGTAAGAACCCAATAAAGAGTTTGAAGTTGGAAGTACAAAGCGCGGCAGAATAACATAAGGGGGACATAGGACAACCTTGCACCAGGTCAAGTACTCTTACCATACCCGAATCATTTATATAGGGTCGGATGCATAGGGCAGCCAAAAAAATCATTTCAACAATCGACCATGACTTTTGGTCGCGTCCAAATCGTCAGTCTTTCGAATAGGACCTAGGAAGAGTACTTCATAAGGTAGAAGGTTGTCCTCTATGTTATTCTGCCGCGCTCGAGTAAATCCCAAAATCTCAGCTTGAACTCCCCTCCTATTATGTTTTGAGTATGAGTAGGTAGAATAAATCTTACCCATCCTAGTAACCGATGATATTTCTCGTATTTCCACAGAACCTCTATCAAATATTTTTATTTTTAAAATTAGCGTCATTGAGGTTTGGCTATTGAATAAATCTTGATGCTCTACCATCCCCGCAAGTGCTATTACTATTATGTGTGTTTATAAACGTTTAGAGGGCGTATTATGTAAAGAAAACGTTATCCTTCAATTCGATGTTGCTGTATATTTTATTTTATCCAGGGACTTATTGTCTTACCGTACCCTGAACTTTATCTCTTGCGCTTTTTTCTATTTTTTAGCTGAAGAAAAGTATGATAAAACTTTTTTTGAACGGTTATTATGCCCAATTCATTTATTAACTTTTCTGAGTTTTATTATATGATTGGTGAATGTGCGTGAACGTGAAATCATACGAAACAAAATAAGTATCTAAAGAAGAGTGATAACGAGACTTAGGAATAGGGTATTTGACAAGTTTTAGAAAACGACCTCACGTTATTTACTAATGTTTATCGAGTCAATAAAAAGTGGACATTCAGCATTATGTTGTGTATTTCGGTAAAAAAACTGGCGTCTCACTGGTGTGTGACGTCACACGACTGTCATTAAAACCTCATACCATACAATCTAATGTCACTTTAACCGGAAGTTTACTTGCGTGTGACGTCATTTTAGGCTCCACCAATCCCAAGCGTTTTGGGTCAAGTGAAAATAGACAAGAAAACTATTATCTTTATCGTAGGTTTTTAGTAAAATTATGAATATATTTTCTGTAAAAATAGTAAATACTCCTACCAATATTCATTCTAAATACAGATGCTAACAAATACCCTATTGTTAGGTTTGCGAACGGATGGCGTAGCTTTACGACATTCACAAGTGCTTGTAGCAGGCCTAGACTGAATTAATGTTTTTTTACACACATAATTTTTTTGAGATGGGGAATAATTTGTCACATTGGTGCTTTAATTGAGTTGCTGACGACTCGGAAAATAAAACACTTAAAGCGGATGGCGACAGCAGCAGCAGCAACAGTTACCTACTATAAACTAATGATCGGGTTGCTTATTGTCTAACTTTTTAACTTGCAACCCGAAAATTCAGTTGATTGACTTATTTGTAAGGATCTCCGTATAACCACTAAACTTTCTAAAATCTACTTCTTTGTTTACTTTTACTCTCAAAACGTTTAAAACGGACAATAGGTACTCGGTGAGATCACAAAGGTCATAGGAACGTCACAATCAGATATTTTCTGCTTTCTCGAAATCAACATCAAGAATTCCAGTAAAATGTCAATGATTTAAACACATGCTCGTATTGAGTCATAAAAGTACTAAATTCTATGTGCATTCGTTTTTACGGAGGTAACAGAAGACAGTAAGTAATACGGTATAATAAGTGTAAAAAAAGGTTCTATTCAATACGATGAAAGTTTAGTGTGTTTAAGTTCCACGCAGAGCAGTTATGCCAAGTCCATGTACCGTATGTGGTACACGAGGCATATTTACTTCATGGACTCTAAAGTTAGTTAATTAGCCCCAATTCGTTGAATTAAGGCCAGTAACAAATAAACGTTTAGAAAATTTACAAAACAATATTGATGATAAAATGTTTCAAATGCCATGCCATTTTCAATGCCGCCATGGACACATGAGGATCCTAATATTCTTTACTGAAAACTGTTCCATTTAGTTAAGAACTTAGAAGAAAGAATTTGATAAGGCTTTTCCGCTTAAAACTTTGAAATTAACTCAAAAGTTAAAATTCTGTGACTGGTCTACGTCCTGATGGTATTTATAAGAGCAGAAATAAACTTTATGAATTGTATTAAGGAAAAACAATCACTCGTAAAATACACACGTAAAATAAGACAACTTACTGATGGAGCTACTGCTAGAACTATATACTTAGTTATCTCTGGGGAACAGCAACCGATATTGTAAATGTATTTTTTTGCAAAAGAGATGGGCTATTTTTCAAAAGTCGTATTAAAACTGGGGGCCTTCAAAAGAGTTTTGAAGAGAACCTTGCACTTACTCTCTTTCATATACTTGTTCAATTGGTTATGAAGATTGTTTCTTGCTATTTTGGGACTTGTCTTTACACTTATTGTCAGTAAATTCGTTGATTGTCTATTGTTACCTATTTCACATTATAAATTTGACGATACTGTATGAAATGAAACAATGGGAAAAAAGGAGCTCTTGCCGAGTTTCTTGCCGGTTCTTCCCAACACAAGGTCTTCCGCCGTAGTTTTGCAAACCAATGGCGTAGTTTTCGACTTTGACATGTACTTAAAAAAGGCTTAGCTGAATAAATATGATTTAAGAATTGAATTTTTGAATTGAATTTGAATGATTTTTGTACTGGACGGTCGACGTGCGATTTTGCTTAAGTCATAGGTAATTATGCGGTACCAATCTTAATCGCATATACAATGATTACATTGGTTTTATGTTACAAATAAATATGTTATGTTATACATCAGTTGAAATTATACTCAAAGGAAAGACAATCCAAAATTACAGAGGTGCTATAAGCATATTGATCCTATTTTATTGTTTATTGCTTCTCAATGCACTCACTACTAACATTTCACCTGCATCTTTATCATCTCGACTGTCACTTTGATGCACTTTGAAATGTCCCAAGCGCAACGCAACACATTTTCTGTTTCACTGACTCCATTGATCACTTGACAAGGACAACCTACAGTCTTTCACCAAGTCTTCATGATGCACAAGGGTCTCGTCTTCGAATCTCCATTTCCGCTCCTTTGCCTCCTTCAATTTCTTTACTACGAATACATTTCGAATAATGTCTCATGACATTTTGCTATATAAAATAGTTTATAATACTTGACTCACTTCTACGGAACTGCCTCATTTTGATAGACAACTTCCTTACAGTAGCATTAATCTCATGACTTTTTGTTGTCAAACATAGTTCGCTTAAGAAAACTCCCAAGTTTCGACATATCAATGCACTGATACAGAGATGTGTTCTTTCATCGGTTTGTTCCTGAACACTAGAGGTAGATGACTGGCAGATAGAACCGATGCGAGTGTCAACCCGGAACTCCCCCCGAAGTGTTACCGTGGACCCGCATGTGACGATTCAAGTTGCCAGACTGGGAAAACCTGCCGACAAAAATTTCAGCTATCTTAAGCGAGAGACAAGTGAATGAGGCGTGATCAAAGAAGTTATACTCGTATATCTCACGGTAATAGGAATGTTGACTTGCAATTTAATTTAGGAATAATGTTAACCCTAATAAAAGCATTTAAGGTCTACTTTCGGTTAAATTTGAGAAAGAAATGGTCTCCAAAGATATTAAGCTTTTGGACGGCAGTCTCGGCCGCGCAGTTGCTAGTACATAATTACGAGTATAATTGATATAGTAGAATCCCCCATTAGATCAATTTTTTGAACAGTGAGCATTCCCGTTTAAAACAAATATATATATATATATATATATATCTTGTTTCATGTGATGATATTTGACTGAGCTGTATCATGGCTGTATCTTTTTTATGTGTATAGATCAGAAGAAATCACTCCACCCCCGCTGAGTCTATGTCACGACGGAGTCCCGACGCAATAGCTGGTGCGCTAGTTAACCTGCCACACGACCATAATTTATTTTCTTGGAAATATTTAATTCCTAGAAACCTATTGCCTAAACGCTAGAGCTATAGGAAACCAATCTATGTCAGAACCAAACGACCAGTTGGATCTATTACCTGAGTAAACACAATTTACACTGATAAGGCTTCTCTCCGGAGTGTATCCTGAGGTGTTTGGTGAGAGTGGAGCTGTCGGAAAACGCCTTCTTGCATGACCGGCATCTGGTGATAGGAAAGCAGATGAATTTTTATTTTCACAGGGAAATCTATAGGCAAATAATAAGAAAAAATGAGGAGCTCGATTGCACAGTTGGTCGAGCGCCATAAGGATGGTTTTAGTTTAATTGGTAAAATTATATTTCTATTCTGTTATGTGTGGCGATATACCAGAAAAACTTCTCGCGCCCACTTATCTGTGGGATTGATGTCGCCGAGGCTGAGGGCACTGGCTGGTTACCGGAACAAACATTGTTTATGGTGCCTTTCGTGTTAGAAAGTGACTAACTCGCTTCCTTCAAAAAACTGTCAAGATGTGTGTCTATACTTTTCTTTAATTATTATTAAAATATTCGGGACAATCGAAAAAACTATAATTTTGACGTGCGCTTTCTGGGATGCCGGCAAAGCAGGGTCCAGCCGCCTCACATTACGCCCGTCGGAGCCCACGCAACCCATCGTCCTGGAGGTAAGTGGGTGCTTCTTTTTTCCAGGTATTGAACCACATAATTTATTATTTTGGTGTAATCCACCCCAGGTGTGGGCTGTTTACACGCGCCACACCAACAGTGTTTAGTGCGTTCGGACTGCGTTCGTAGATGTTAAGCAACATTCTTAACGGCAATCATTGCATGGACGACCAAAAACTTATTAACTCGAGTGCCTCCGTGCTTCGCAAGGCACGTTAAGGTGTGACGGCTGCATCTGCAGCTATTAACACCCATTAATCCGCTTTGGTTGGAGCGTCAATCTCCGTTTGCCATCCATAGAGAAGAAATGAGCCTAGCAGATGGAACATTAAAGGTTGATGATGATTGATTATGACTTTGCAATCTCATTAATAGGTTTTTGAGGCGTATCTGTTAGGAACTTTTTATCTATGGCCAAGATGCTTTTCCTATAAGCTAAGTTCTTTGTTCCAATCATAATTGTTTTGATTATGACTCTGAGATTTGGATTCCCCTCTGAAAAAGGTTTAAAACTATACTGGCCTGCACAACTAAGTACTTATCTATTTTTTTTCTAAACTATAGTAGTTCGAGATTTAGAATAAAAACGTTTTAGAGCATTTTTTTAGCCTTCTCTAGTTGAAGTCTAATCTAAAAAGTGTCTAACTGTAGTAAAAAATTAAAATCTATATTGAATCCTTTTTATGTCCAAAGTATGTCTTGTGTGTTTAAAAAGTTATTGCAATTTTAAGAATGTGATAATTAGTTTTACAGTAGTAATGTTCTTAAAGCAATTTTGTCCAAAGAATCTTGATGTCTTTTGAAGCCACGAACTTACTGATAAGGCCGCTCCCCGGAGTGGGTTCTCATGTGTGTGGTGACGCTTGAACTTTGGCTGAACCGGCGGTCGCAAATTGGACATCTGGGGGACAAAAATTAATGTTATTTTAGGGGTGTGTAACGTAGTGTTTTATCAATTTTCTGGGATAACAATACCCAATAGTTTTAATTTTGGCGCGAAGGCGCATTGTAGGTGTCAGAACACTACGTTACAGGTGGACAACCATTATCACTTAAGGATATGAAAAGCCGATACTCAGACCCACGGAATATGCATATAAAATTTCATAAAAATCGGTCAGGCCGTTTCATAGGAGTATGGTAACTAACATTGTGACACGAGAATTTTATATTTAAGATGTGCGATTATTTTTTGCAACACTAATGAAGCACAAGACTATTGATAATAAAAATGACTTTCACATACATACACGCCATACACTAATACAAATACACACAAGTATTAAAAACTCTAAGTACATAACTAGTTTCCAAAAGGTAAATGTGTATAATTTAGCAGCCTCTAATGTACCTAGGGTTCCATGTAATCACTATCTAAACATTATTTATTATTGTTCTGGTGGACTTGCCTAAAGGGTTTCTGACCCGTATGCGTCCTGACATGTGCGGTGAGGTTGGCCGCCTGCGAGAAGCTTTTATTGCAGTCCCTGCAGCGGTACGGCCGCTCCCCCGAATGCGTGCGGAGGTGAGTTTTCAGCGTGCTGGGCCTGGCGTACGTTTTGCCGCAGATCCGACATAGATTAGGCTTATGCTCGTCGTCTTCCGAGCACCCGCTCAGTGCTCCTATCTAAGAATACAATGAATCGAATGAAATTAAAGCTATGCCGGGGTGTTGGCTTACGTTTTGACACAGATCCGGAATAGATTGAGCTTCTGACGAATAGAATGTGTCGAATAAATTATAAGTATGTTTAAGCAGGCTGTATAGTTATATTGAGCTGTGGGTGAAAGACAAATATAAAAGGAGCCAGATTTTTTCTGAAACGTCAGCAAGTATAGGCATTAGCAAATGACATAGCCAAGATGCAAGTCCATAAAGCGCAAGTATAAGTACTTGCATAGGTTGCCACCTTTTCGGATTTTGCTAAAAAGGAGTTAGGTGTCCCAAAATTTTAGAATTTGATATATCTAATGTTGGTGTTATAAAAGTTGGTTTAAAATTAAACAACTAAGGCAAATTACTTGAGGCGGTACAATCGTTTAATATTTCTTGTGGGTACTACTAAGTTTGTAGAAGTAATGAAAGAAGTAATCGGACAAGAGATAAGAGGTTTACCTGCACTTTACCAGATGCGTTGACGCAAGCTGAGTATCCGTACTCCTGAGAGTGCACCTGTCCCTGATGATTCAGGATAGTGTACCCTGCGCTCATCTGTTCTTTCGTACTTTCCTGCATATAAATCTTGGAAGAGGTTCTCTTTAAATTCTGACCGGGCGTTTTTTGCCCGGCGAAATTAGGTTTCTGCTGGAATATCGAATAGTTGGGGTTTGGTTTAGGTGTGTTCTGTAAGATCGGCTTGAAGGTAGATGTGGCCGTGATGAGGGGGTCTGATTGGTTCGGGGCGCGAAAATCCGCCGTGAATGAGTAAGTGGCAGAGGGATAGGAGTTTGGGCTGATCATGTTTTGGGATTGTGGGTATACAACGTTCACCGAAGGCGTTGAAGCGTTCTGATTCCACTGGACCTGGAAGAAATTGAATTCGTGAACATTCGTAGAAGAAGAATAGGAATAGTATTAAAAATGATAGTATCAGGCTGGAATCGCACCAGCGTCCTTCACTCAGATTGCGGGATCGGGATCTGTAGCATAGCGATCAGTGCAATCGCCATCCTAAAAATTAATATGCTCTAAGTAATTAATTTCGTTTATCAAACTAAACATCGTCTGTTGATAGTAATACCTACTTACTTAGCCTAAATTACATTACCTGGCATTCTCATTATTTCCTCTCTTTTGAATTGAAATAGGTATGTAATAGGGAATATGCATGACTTATTTCAAGTTTATTTTTATTTAGTAGTTTACATTCCCTTTATACAGTATAAGAAAATCATCGTCGAAAATATATTATAGTGTTTAAAGAAAGGCAAAAATAGCCGCTTTGCAGGCGAATTTTTAACGCGCGCCATTTTTTTATAGGTAGGTCCTACAAATGACTCCACCCCACCTATTTTAAGTGACGGTGAAATCAAGACGTGAAGATAGCTGTTCAGCAGTTCTATTTGCCACACCAGCCATCCTCGCTTTGCCGGCCTGCATGTTGCTTATTCACGCCTCTTTTAAAGAATCCCAGGTTGTAAGAAGGAGGGAACACGTGAGCAGGCAGAGCATTCCATTTACGGATAGTGCAACAAAGAAATGAGTCACCAAATTTCTTTATACGCGTTAGAATTGTGGCCACAGTTAGACGGTGACAATGTAGGCCAGCGCGCGTGGTTCTCTGAAGGAAAGGGGGGATGGAATAACAGAGAATAATTCCTCAGAACTCTCGCCGTAGAACAGACGATAGAACGCGCTTAGTGACACCAAGTCACGGCGTAATTGAAGAGGAACAAGGTGTTTCAATGACCCTAAAAGATACTTACATTTTGCGTTTCATACCTCCACTGCGGATGGCAGTTGGAACCTACGTCAATCAAATAGACATATTGTTTCATACATTTTTGGTAAAAATTTAAATGTTTTTATTAATTTTTTAAGCATTTAACTGCTAGATGTTTAAATCTAAAGAAAAGTTTACTAGAAAAAAATCCACGCGGACCAGGCAGCGGACGGGACTCGGTGCGGGACACTTCGCAATCCGGGCGAATGCACTGACCATTTTGCTACCACGGCCCTATTAGCCGCGTCGAAATTTTCCTAGCCTTAAGCTGCAAGGCAGCGCCATCTCTTCGCATTGTAGGTAACCCACAATGTCAAATGAATACTTTTTCAAGTATTAAACATTTGAAGGAAGAAATAGCAATTATAGTTATGTTTTTATTATTTTTTAAGCATTTAACTGCTAGATGTTTAAATCTAAAGAAAAGTCTTTTTTGAAGTGAAAACCACTTCAAAAAATAAAAGTATTTGTTCATGTTACAATATAAAACAAGCTTTCAAATAATATATGTTTCATCGCTGCCGGAAACCGACTACCACATTTGAACCATCTCTTTTTTACGTCTTATTACATGCATTTTCCCTATTGAGAAGGATGAAGTAGTTTGAATGGATGTTGGCGCAAGTGGCCCTAAATGCTTAAATCATAAAAACCAAAATTATTGTTAAATTTTGTAACTATAAGTATCTTTCAAAATATAAATTTCTCACTTGAGAGCAGAGCTGGTCAGGCGGGCATCCGTGCATGGTCATGTTCATAGACACGTTGACGCTCATGGTGGGGAACAGGGGCCCGCCATTGTAGTGTTCGTAGTACGGGTAACCACCGCCACTGTTCACCATCATCTGGACATTACATAGCATGGACAAAGTCAAATCTAAGGCTAAGAACTCACGGAACGGCTTTTCCCTACACCCACACACTCACACAGAACTGTTTTTTTTTCAAGACTTACGAGACCGCAGTTTTCTGCGAGATCGGGCGAAACCCGACGCGCCTGAGGGTGATCTCACATTCTACACGAGTTGCGGACCTGCAGCCGCGGAGGGCGCGGTAGAAAATCGCGCCGTGTTTAGCCTCATACTATGTGCATGAATTTAGCGAGTGTTTGATAGTATGCGACATTTCGCTATGCTTTCCGCGATAAAGGTCATCGTTATACCTATGCCTAATGTCCTCAACACAGAACAGAGAATTTTCTGTACTGCTGAAAGACTTGTAGATGGAATAGGAAGATTGGATCATGAACACCCGTCCAGTACGGACTGGATGGTGCTCACGGAAGCAAGGAGTCATCCTATGACCAATCATTGAGAAAGCTGCTTAACTTGCACGACTGTAGACCGAACAATAATCAGAAAAATACGATAACAAATGAATTCCTTGACATGATTTCCGTTGCTAAAGCCATAAAGTGATAACCATAAATCCAAGTAAATATGTATTTCAGCGAAGGTTTCCCTAAATTTATTAATGTCAAAGCCCTCGGAGCTTTAGGTTATAACTTAGCTTCAACTAAATCCCCAATAATATCTAAAAGAGACGATTAGATGGTTTATGCCTCATTTTAAGATTTCGTATTTTTTATTCACAAATTTTCATTTGTTGGTAGAGCCTTAGTAATTAAGTATTTTAGAGCATCGCCAACCACGTATAAAAATATGTCAAAATTTCGGTACTATACTAGTATTATGTTATACCAATCACTCTCAGCTGATCTGATTTTTGGGCGTACTTAAAAATATCTACTAAGTCTGTAATATTTTGGGGTTGATAATTTTTTCGGGATTAGTTATAGCAATTATTTGAGAAGAAATGTAAATATATACACCTAATTTGGTAAAACCTTATCCAAAATATTTTTTTCTAAGTTGTTCTCCTAATCTCCATTAGCTGTCCAGTTACCAGAATCACACTTTCTACCTTTAATAGTTCCAAAACTAAGTCGTGATTTTACATTACTCTCTGTATATTTTGAAAGAAGATTAATATATTTTGTTTTTAAGAATATATCATCAGTTTAATCAGTTTAGTCCTTTCATTTTATCCAATTCTGTCACGGTTAAGATATTATTAATATCTCATTAAATAAGTATTATTTTTCGGAATGCGTCAGTAGTGCTGCGTCAGTAACCGAAGCGGTTGATGTCTAGTGTTTCGCTGTCGCAATAAATAACACAAGACAGCAATTACCTTCCGTATGGTTAACGATTTCTTTTATTTCCGTTCGTTTGTTTAATTTTATTCTATTATGCCTTAATTTTTAAGGTTCCGTACCACGACAGGAAAAATGGAACCTTTATTGGATTACTTTGTTGTCCGTCCGTCCGTCGGTCCATCTTTCAAGACCCTTTTTCTCAGGAACGCGTGAAGGTATCAAGCTGAAATTTATACACGCGGTCCCCTAAGTAGCTCTACACCAGCAACGACAACCACGCTAAGCTAACGCAAACGCATCCATAACGATAAAAATAATATAGCGACCTGGCTTGGCTTGGGACAACAGTAGCTGCCGGTCAGTGCCAACATAGAGCAACGCGGCCGACGCGGCCAGGAGAGGAGTCAGCATTTACAGCGTTTTCCCCTATTAGCGGGGGAAAATCGACAGAGGAAAACGCTGTAAATGCTGACTCCTTTCCTGGCCGCGCCCTAATGGGCAGCACAAAAACAAAACTAAGTTGCGCTCCGATTTTCACTAGACTGAGTCAAGAGGCACGAGTGTAATTTACTGTAAAACACACCTGGAATATTAAACTTACAAAAAGATGGTGTTAGATTTCACATTTACGTAAAATTATTAATTTAATATTTCTATTTAACCAGTTTTATACACAAAATCATATATTTTTTTTAAAATTCAATCGTCGGACTTGTTTGACAAAACAATCGTCTCGTCAGTACAAATTTCAGATTTGTCAATAAAAAATCTTAAGTTTCATCCTTTGATTATAACTATCTGTGCCCGATTTACCGCTGTCATTTTTTATGTGTGAGTGTCGTAATTACAAATTCGTTTTTGCGAAAGTATGTTGGACTGCATTTGTGTGCATATTTCTCCCTCCACATAAAGCGGCAGAATGATTTCAGCAGTATTATGTCATTATGGCTACTCCCCTCCTAACCGCGTCGGCTGTGTTGCTCTATGGAGCCAACGGCAACGGACAAAAGATGCTTGACATTCTGACAGCGTCTGCCAATTAAATATTAAGCTTATGCCGCGCAAAATGTCTAAATCTTCGCTACCGCAGAGGGCGGCCTGAAGGAACTTTACGGAGCCGCAGCTAGGTGTACTGTGCGGTTCCTAACTGGCTGCGTGACTTGGATATTAGTAATAGCCAAAGTTACCTACAGTTAAATTAAACATATATGATCAAACAAAAAACCCGAAATCACAAACATTTCAAACAAAGAAACATATTAGCCATGTCAACAATGATACTTTAAAAGAGGTGCTTTAGCAAATAAGCCCGCTACATAGGCAATGCTGCGCGTAGCTAAGCAGTATTCCAAAAAAAATTACCAATCGCATTGCTCAATATACACATGTCTATAAAATTACCAATCGCATTGCTCAAAATACACATCTCTCTTCTCCACTCCACTTTAATGGAAACAGAATTAGTGGAGTTGAGAAGAATAACATTAAAAGGTAAATAGCGCGCGGAGTTACGAGCGTTGGCAATGACGAGAGCGGTACGGCGCTGGGTGGAGTTGAGCCGAGCGGAGCTGTTGCATTGCTTAATCAAATGTTTAACTGACTGTAAATAAAATGCATTCACAGCTCTGCACAGCTCGTCTTCATACTGCTCCACTCCGCTCATCTCCACTTAAACATACACATAGCTTCGCTCGGCTCTGCACGGCTCATATTCGCACAGCTTCAACGGAAACACTTTCTTATTAACACGGCTAAAAATGAAATGACCGAATGATGTAGGTATAAGGGCGTTAGTTAACGAGACGATATATACCCAGTTTCTACCCGGGCGGGTGCGGGCTAAGCTTGTTCACGAGCAAGATTTGTACGTTCGTACCGACCACAAACCATTCCGCTAGCGTGGGTGTCGCTACTGGCGACCGGCCGTAGACACGGTGTAAAACTGTGCCTAGAGCCGGCGGAAAATCTTTGAATGTGTTTTAGTCTCGATACAATAATATTGGACAATAGATTCAACTACTTGGTCAAAGAACCGTCTAAACGTTGGTTCAAAAAGGACGGTTGCACATTCAACGCCCATTGCTAGTCCACTAGTGACCGTAGACAAAAAAAAAAACGCATTTGAGTGCAATAAATTGCACTTTACTGATTTTTAATATGTTGTTAGGATGCTAACCATTAGTGTAAAACAGTAGATTTAAGGAGAATATTATCTATATTTCATTCCTAATTTAAATCACTGTTAGTCCTTAAGGATTAAAACGCAATTTTGGTCTCTGTAAATAAAGTAAAAACTAGCTCTTTTGGACAAATGTGATAAAAACAAATTTGCAGCTTGTAAGACCTGTTCTTAACCCAAATCGAATTCTCGCTTATAAGTTTAGAAAAGTCCATCCTATGTATAAAGTTACTTGCTACATTTTAAAGTAGGTAGACGAATCTACATTATGAATGCCACTTTAACTATGGAAGTCTAATAGATTGTTAAATACAGCACTTCAGAAATTGACCACAATCTCGCCTGATGGAAAGCGATGACGAGTTCGGATTCCGGTCAGCTTGTCGATTGAAATACTAATCATTCTATGAGTAAAGTCGTAAAGATGAACTTAAAAGAATAATTCAGCCTGCAGAATACTGTAGGGATAACAATTTTCTTGTTATCAAGAAACAACTAAATAGAAAATGGAGCGCCCGTCAGGGGAAGTAATTTCCACTTTTTACCACCGTAAAAGTCAATGACCGTTGGGCGGGGTTGCGTTACCTCCCCGCGAGTGACACTGTAGTGTATTGTTAGGGTGGTATCGTAGTTAGGTTATAGGCTATCATAGACGCTCATCATCAAGGTTGCTATTAGTGTCAGTTCTGGCTTGATTCTCTAAACCTAAACTTAAATTTCGCAACAATGTATCCTTGTCATTCTCTATACGAATGAAAAGGAGAGACAGATGTTAAATTTAGTTTTAAGTTTAGAGAATCATGCCAGAATCGGCACCAATATTACATAAATTTATAAATGTAATGATATTTTTTATATAAAAATGATATGTATTCTGAAATTTGATCATAATGTTCTCTTACACCCCAATTTACCTTATTTACAGCTTTAGTGTTACATTCAATTTTATTTGACTATTTTAATACACCCAGGTCACACACAATAACAAGAGGAAAATGATCTGATGTAAATGTATCATATAGTACTTACATAAATATTTGAATCAGTTTATAAATGTTATTTATTTAAGTTCGGTTTAGACTATTCAAACTGTGACTTTTCAAACATATTTCTAATTTTGGCGAACTAATTGTAGGGTTTTATCTAATGTTTATAGTTTCTATCACAAAATGACCAGCTTTTGCCTGTCAGGTTGTTGTTTTGTGTGTCGCGATACACTGGTAAAATGGACAGTTACTTTACAAACCTGAAGTCAAAATAGTCGAATCCCATCTTAAACAGATGTACGGGGAAAATGTCTTTAATTACTGTCTCAGGAACAGCTGTGCTTCCGCTATCACTTCACATTCCACAATTCACGTCCAGTTCCCTCAAAGAAGTAAATTATTTTATTAAATTAAATATTATTATTAATCGCACTTTATTTTGTTTTGTAATTTATAAACCATTTCCGAGTGGGTTATAATATCCTTTACATATAGCTTAATTTTGTGAGAAATTCGCACTCAAATAAATTTCATTCCACCCTTAGTAACCGACAAAGAACACTAATATCTTAAAATCCCCATCGCAAATAGATTAAAAAAACCCAGCATCCCCCACAGAGCAGAAGCCTTCCAACGAAACTGTATTAATTACTCAAATAATTTCACCGCTACAAAATTCGCAGTATTATATTCGGCGTCACCCTTGAGAAGTAAACACCCTTTATTAAAAGCTGTTCTTCGAAAAACCTGTCATATGCTAATTGGACAGAGTTTATTTTGTTGTGACGCGGACGGGGCGTGCGCCAGTGTTTGTGGGGTATGGTTGTCGCCGTCGCGTCGCGCGCGGTTAGTACGGGTGTGAGAGAGCAAGCTATAGTTACCTGTGGTACGGCATCGGCGGCGCAATCCCCGTGAACGACGGCGTGCTTGAGCGAGAGGAGGACGTCGGCAGCCTCCCCGCCGCCTCTTTCACGGTACTCCCCTCCATTGTTCCTGCTGAATTTCATTCCAGGTATAAGACCTTCGTCTATTACGTCCACCTCTGGGAAATTGACTAGCATGAACGTATTTTTTAATAGTGAAATTACACCATTCAATAAGTGTACCTAGTTAAATCATACCGAAGTAGATATTTGAGGAGCTGGCGAACAAAACGGTATAATAACATGAAATTAAATTTCACAGGATCTGTATAAAACTGAATGACATACCTACAGTGAGGTTTTCGCATGGTTTATTTAATTTATAAATTCAGTAATTTTAACACTGTTGTACACTGTGGTTTTGATTGAAAATTATTTGAGATTCAAATTCAACGGGCCCGAAGCCTCCGGACTGTAAAAAAAAAGTAGTTTGACCAGATGCGTAATTATACCGTTTTATTCGCCAGATCCTCATTTTATATTAGTGAAATTTTATCATTCAGTGAGAGTACCTAGATAAATCATACCAAAGTATATATTTATGAGTAACACAAAGAAAATACAATTTGCGTGTTTTTATATTTATGTAGTTACAAAATGTGCGATTTCTTTATTTTTTTAAATGTGGTCGGAGAGGATAAAGCATGTGTACCACATTACATGTTAATTATAGAGTAAAGTCACCTAAAATGATTACTACCCGCATCTACCTCTTGGATTATCCCAACCGGGCCACTTCTGTCTGCTCAGTGAACTTAACTGGGCCACTTCTGTCTGCTCAGTGAACTTAAGTTAAATCATTATAATAGTCACCACAAACCACATACAGAGAAACATTATTCATAGTATGGGCAGGTAATGTAATACTTCAGTCAGTTTAGGTAGACTATAAGTAGTTTATGTTCTAGGGATTAGGTTTCCTTTCCTTTAGGACACAACACTGGAGCTAGAGAGCAGTATTACTATGCTCGGTATGAATAGCTGTGACTTTTATCCAAAAATTACATCGAAAGCGTGGTAAAAACGGCCTCACGCAAACTCGGATTCCTGAACAAGGTGCTGCGTTTTTTCACGCCCCAGCAACTGTGGCTATCTTCGCGTCTGGACTTCATCGTCTCTTAACGTCAGGTGGGGTGGAGTAATTTGTCGGACCATATAGGTCCATGACATAAAAAAGGTACTATGCATATTTGAACCTTCCGTGAAAGAACGGTACAAAGACACAATACGTGCTTCAAGGCACTGATGTTCCGTAACTCACTTTTCAACTCATGAATAACGGACAGTAGAGTCTGTGCGGAAAGAGAATGGGCGTGACGAAAAACGGAACTAACATTAAGATTTTTATTTGGCAATCAAACCAAGCAAACTGCAAAACGTCAAAGTTTTGTATTGATACGGATTTGTTTGTTGTTGTGATTTCTTGCGGTTTTTTTGTATTTAATCATGTCTAAAAGGGGTAAAACCTTACAAATACGGTAGAAAAGCACTACAGCGCCCTCCAATATAAATCCCATTCTCTTTCCGCACAGACTCTACGTTTTTTTACTCATGTGCTTTTCACCGCGGAATCCACGGTGGGATTTGAAATTTGTACCTATTCCAATTTTAAATCACACGCTTCACCACACTAATATTATAAACGCGAAAGTTTGCGAGTGTGTATCTTTGTTACTTCTTCGCGTCTAAACGGCTGGAGCGATTTTAATAAAATTTGGTATGGAGTTAGCTGGTTCCCAGGATTAACACATAGGCTACGCTTAACTGCGGGAAAATATCCCTAATGAACCGCGGGTAACACCGCAGGGCACAGCTAGTACAATATATACTATGATTTAGATCATTCCGCGGTTTCTTCTTACTGTGGTTCTTACAGAATAGTACCAATGATAAAAACCGCACGAAAATCGATAGACCAACAACCAGGGGCGGCTGCAAGAGCTGCAAGGGGCGGCAGAAGCCATATCAAGGCATGCGTTCCTGGCTTATATTTTGATTTGATTTACTAATTCTGGGGCTGGGGGGGAGTGGCACAAATTAATCGTAAGCAAAAGCAACTTGCGACCACCGCGCACTGAGTTTCTGATTCAGTTTTTTATGTATAAACTCCATCAAATGCTATTATCATGGTTCAGGACCGTAGGTACTTTATGTAAGTGTGATTGGAGTGCTTAATGTTTAAGAAGCATTTTGAATGACAAAAAGGAGAATCTCTTTGACATGACGGAAATCTGTCGAAAGATGTCCGACATGTCTTGCCACGTGGCAATGCTGCCAGCCTTCCGGACACAATTCCTGACGGCGACGCTGGGGTGACATATTTATTTTATTTGTAAATTAAAATTTATTTAAGCAAGTGTACGAAGGTAATTATTGATTTCAAAATTTTAGACTAATTATTAATATAATAACACATTACTTACTCGAATCCGTTAAGTTACAAGTTTCTGCGTAAGTTAATTTTAGATGTTATAAAAGTTCATAACTTCTCGACAACCGCACAAAGGGCAATGTTTCTACGTAATACTATTTTCCTTTCTATTTTGAACGACATGAATGTCAAGGTCAGTTCGAGTAAACGTTTTCCGATACCGAAATCATTTTTAGTCAATCAAATTTACTGATACTGTATTTTATTTTAGTTTTGTACAGGCCTGTTTACTTAAATTTTAATTGTTGTTTTACAGTAAAAAAAGATGACTTTAATGGTTCATTAAATAAGAGTAAATATTATAATAGTATATACATAATTGTTCCTGTATCGCAAGTAATAAATTTAATATCGTTTGCAGATCGAATTGAGAATATTAAGCGTCATTTACACGATGTAAGTTTCTTGCCTGTTGCATACAATTAAATTGAACGATAAATATGACTTGCATGGTTTAAACAATACATAACATTCTTGTTTTGCTTCAAAACTTTTCTTAGTGTAAACAGCACACACAATAATTCCTTTATTAATTCTTGTATTCAATTCTTGTCTCATTTGCAAACATGAGTGCAGTAAGTGATGGTATGTTAATCATTGCTCTTCTGAGCCAAGACATATTTAGGAAACGTCTTATAAAAGAATCCATTAAATTATACCAAGCAGACCCCTCTTTCCTAGTGGGCACTTTGGAGAAGTGCCCAGGGCCCCGCGATCGATAGGGGCCCCTCTCAGATCAAATACAAAGTCCCTTATTCCTATCAGGTCACCAAACGATAACCAATATTTATTACCAAAAAACTTATATAATTCCACGTTTTGGAGCTCCTGTAGAGTCGAAGGAGCTGGATCTTGAGATCGAACCTTGCGTTTAAGATGATCCCAGAGGTGCTCTATCGGATTCAGGTCCGGTCTTCTCGCTGGCCACTGCATCGCAGAGATTTGGAACCTCTGTAAGAAGTCAGTCACGATAGCTGCATTGTGAGCGCGGGCGTTGTCATGCATTAATGTGAACCCCTCACCAAAAGATTCGGTAAATGGGTGCAAACGGCGTGCAGTTAGACCCTTGTCTGCGAGCACTTCCAATCCAGGAGACGCAGACAAGGTCGGTTTTGCCGGCAGCCGACATTCCGCCCCGAATATGCATGACCCGCTCCCATATTCCACCGTCTCCTGGATGTAGGCTTCCGCAAAATTTTCACCCTGCCTCCGGTATACTCTTCTCCATCGATCGTTGCAGAAAAGACATACTCGCGTCTTGTCTGAGAAGAGAACAGCTCTCAATGCTCATGGGTCTAATCGTTGTGGTCACGAGCAAACCGTAAGCAGGCTCGCCGATGCGCTGCTGTCAATTTCGGACCCGTAGCAGCTCTGTGGGCCGCTATCTTTTTCTCCTTCAGTCTTCTTCTGAGAAGCTACAAGCACATCTCACAACCATTGACCAGTGAATGGAAAAATGGAAAATAAAGACGAGTGCACCTCCAAATCCACTCATGTTACTTTTACGCTGAAGACAAGAAATTGTCCACCAGTTAAGCTTGGAACAGAACAGCTTCCACAATGTGATGTTGCTCAATACTTGGGGATACATTTTGACAGAAGGCAAACATGGAAAACCCATATTCAAAAGAAAAGGGATGAACTAAATATTCGCTTTCACTCACTCCTTCGGATAATGGGAAGACACTCGCGTCTCAGTTTGAATAACAAGCTTCTCATTTATAACGCGGTATTAAAACCAATTTGGACTTACAGCATTGCACTTTGGGGTACAGCGAGTAACTCGAACCTAGAAATCCTGCAGCGATTCCAAAACTCAGTGTTTCGCACCATACTGAATGCTCCATGGTTTGTGAAAAGCACAGAAATGCACGACTACTTGCAAAGCAACACTATCAAGGATGAAATAACCGCTATAGCTAAGCGCTACCAGGGCAGACTTATTCACCATGTTAATTAACTTGTGGTGACTCTCACTGATGTTAGCAAACACACCAAAAGACTCAAAAGATGCACTATCGGTGAGCTGGAAAACAGGCATTAACTGAAGATCAGTGTGGAACAATGAGAGAAGAGCTTTTTGTTGAAAAAGCCATCTCGCACGCCCGAAAAGACATTGAAATGTTCTGCTTATAGTGAAGACTGATCGCAGAAAGCGGTAACACAAAAAAAGAGTCTTCTTCTAACCGTAGAAACGCTCGCGGTGCGTCTACAAACAGCCTGAAGCTGCTGTTGCAACTCAACAGCGTTAGAGAAACGATTTCTCAAAGAGTTCGACGGAATGAATCGGTCGCCTCTTTCTGAAGTGCAGCGACGTCTACCGGATCTATGTCTCCGGATATAGCCACCAGTCTCTATGAAGCGCTGGTATACTCTTCGAACGGGAAAACAGCTCAGGTTCAGTTGCCGGGCAACATCACACTGCCGCGACCCTGATTGCAGTAGTTTAACCACTTCAGCGGCTTCATTGAGTTTCTTCTTCTTTTCTTCAGTAGAATCTGTGCGTGTGTCCTCTTCAACGGTTGAATAGCGAATGACCCACATTGATTGATACCCCAACCACCAACATTGAGTGTGGACCGTTTTATACCCACACAAGGAAGCGCAACTTGCGACTCTCACGGTAGCAAAATTTGCATCGATTTTTTGTGACACTTTATTTTTTGCACTAGGTATTATTTGATAATGAAAAGTTATGTTTTTTATTAAGTCAATTAAGTAACCTTATAAATAAAAACCTTTTAAAAAAACTTTAAAAAAATAAATAATGTGGTGACATGTGCATATTAAGAGTGAATGACATTTGAAAGAGATTTTCTAAGAGGTGCGATTTTTTTAACGTCGAGTGTATAAGTCTGTGTTTAGACATGTCAATACTTGAAAGCATAATCTCCTTACAATAATTGCATTGCTGTAAACGAAAGACATTTGCAATTCTTATTTGTCAAAAGTGTCTGGCAATAAATACTGCGAACAGAATGTGTCAGGCAGTATTAATTTCAAATTGTTTACAATATTCTCTATAACATACGTAGTAATCAGTACCCACACTGTAAGTAAAGTGAGTAAAATTTTTACGTGCCTGTGCCACCTGATTCGTGAAAAATAGCCCACAGCACAAGTTAGCGAGTATGTATACGTTCGTTGTACACACTTATACTACTCGATAAATCCATATTTCGTCCACGAGAAAATAAGTGAGGTCTGGCAGTCTTGGGATCTTATTCTATAATATTGTGATTTATTCTGTAAGAATAAACTCAATTTTCCAGCTCAGAATCCGCGGTGCGATTTAAAATTAGAACACGAATTTCAAACAAATTTATATGAAATTTGAGTTCTAATTTTAAATCACACTCACACCGCCAAGTTCCGCGGTGAAAAGTGAGTTTGTTCTTACAGAATAGAACTGCAGTATTCGAATGGAACAGAATTTACACGTGCTTTTCGTTAGGAAATTCATACTTATATTGTAAATGTGAAAGTGTCTGCCTGTTACATCTTCGCGCTCACTAAACGTAATCACTATAAATATTGTGCCTTGATAACGTTTTTATACAAAAATAAAATGGTTCTGAAACTCAGTCGCGTTGCGGTCACAAGTTGCTATTGCTCATTTATTAGGGCTGTGGGTCTGTGGGTACGCCCAATGAGATTTCCCTATTTTAGATATTCAATAATTAACTATTTGTAGATGGTTTATAAAAATTATGTTAAGCTTCGTATGCCGTGACCTAGAGGTATTTACTTGAGAATTCAAGAAGAAAAATTCAAGAGAATTCTTTCAAACCGGCAACGTAAATGTGGGTCGCCTATAGTTAGAAACTTACACCAAGTTCCTAACTATAGGCGACCCACCAAATCACTGGTTCCAACAGTGCTTTTCTGTAGGAACAAAATAACTTTTCACCTCGGAATCCGCGGAGTGATTTATAGTTTGAATAAGAATTTTCTATATTCATATCATGCCGGCTCATTCCGCGGTGAAAGTGAGTTTGTTATTAAACAATAGCACCACTGCTTACACCGAAATAGACAAAGTTCCTAAGTGAAGGCGACTCAACGAATCACTGGTGAAATAATAAAAAGATGGCAGCAAAAACTATATTACAACTTCTAAATAACTTATTTTTATACAACTATAAAAAAAATCGCTTTGCGGAATACAGAGCGGCATCGCGTCTACATTCGAAATTCGGACGTGCGAAAAAGAAAGAAAGAAATAAATAAAAATATTGACGACACACCACGACATACATTGACTAACACGGTAACAGTAAGCACACAATAAACATGAGACAGAAGTACATCGACAACTAGGCATAATGTTGCAACAGTAAAATGGATTGCCGCTACAACGCTGGAGGGAGGATACACTGACAGATAGATACAAGGCAGAAATTATAATATAAAAAACTTATCAATAAAATAAACTAGCTGTGCCCCGCGGTGTCACCCGCGGTTTGTTAGGGATATTTTCCCACAGTAAAACGTAGCCTATGTGTTAATCTAGGGTATCAGCTAACTCCATACCTAATTTTATTAAAATCGCTCCAGCCGTTTAGTCGTGAAGAAGTAACAAACATACACACTCACACGCTCACACACTCGCAAACTTTCGCCTTTATAATATTAGTGTGATTAAAACAAAACAATCTACCAAAAAATTGCAAATTAAAAACTATGCCATAGTGTAATTAATACTATCTGTAGGGCGATTATGTAAAATAAAATATCCTTTCGATTTCAGTAGCTGCCATTTTAGGCGAGTTACCGCCCGTGGTACTTGCATACTCACTTATATAGTCCAGCGATAAAACTATCGGAACTACACACTCGTTTCCCGCTGCAGCTGTTCGCTACCTTGCTTCTAGTTTCTAGGAATACTCGCTTCTCATTCATCAGCCGTGGTGGCACAAGTGCCTAAAGGTTCGATCCGATGGCGTACGATGTCGCGTTCGCGGCAGTGCCGCGCAGTATTGCCAAACGTATGAGAACTCTGACGTTTGCGATTTAGCAGTCTCTATACATGATACAAGGTAAATAAAAATCTCGTACACTTTGATATGAGATTTGAACAATGTTGACTGTTTGTGTCATGTACCAAAAAATTAAAACCCGCGACAACACACGCCGTCGGACTGAACCTTAAGGTGAATAACGCACGAGCCGTTAATCGCGGCGGATGGTGGTCGCGCGAATGTGAATTTGTCAATGCATAGAGGTTCAACGCACGGGCATCCGCGTAACCGCGCGGGTGCGCCATAGAAAATGACATCCGCGCAACCGCCATCAGTCGCGGTTAGCGGCTTGTTCGTTATGCTACTAAATACACTAATTATACTCACTTGTACCCAGAGCAGGGCGAGAAAGGGAACAGCGAAGGCAGCGGGTCAAGCTCCAGGGGCGGCAGAGAGAATGATCCCATGTCCTCGCCCCAGCCAGTCTCCACTGCCTCCTCGCCGAGGGTCACGTCGCACGGGGCGATGCTCTCCCCAAGGGCGTTTATTTCTTCGCCATTTTCTTGACAGCAGTTTTCGTTCTCTTGCTACAAAGATGAACGAAAACTTATTAGTACTAACTAATCCAATGTTGTTTCCCATGCTGGGTTGGGAGCGATATAAAAGTAATAATAGCTGGCAAATCACAGGGCAGGCAAGGCCGTAGCCAGAGTTGTATTAAAGATAGGTCAGAGGTAACTACAGACAGGGCATAAGTAGAGGCGTGCCGCACTTCGTAGGGTGCCGCCCCATTTTTAGTTAGGGTATAGCCCCACAATGCAAATTTGACAAGAATGTGGCTGCCGCCCGCACTTCTCGCGGTCCCCGTTTTCGTCCTAACTAATCCACACTCTTTACCCTGCAGGCGAGGACTCAGTTAATTGGTCTACATATAGGCCAAGGTGGATGCTTTAGAAATGGGTAAAAAGTGAATTTAGAACAGGTCGAAACCCATACCAAAAGGAAGAGAACATTTATTAAGAAAAAGAAAAAAAAAATTACGGACGAGTTCGGGGACAAGTCGGTTGGTTTATCGCGATTTCGGGAAAACTACAACTGTTATCGAAAAAAAATCAATGGCAAATTTGTATATAGGTAATCAAAAGTTCTACAACTTCTGTATTTACACTTTTTTCACATAACCTTTTAGTAAATATTTTAAGTAAAGTATTTTTTCAAATACTTTTTGGTTTTTAATTAATAGTACATAATCCTAAAAATTGCTCCCAAAAATGAAAATAATCAACTTTTTAGTTTTTGACGTGACAACGTCTTAAATTAGGTTGCGGCTGGGAGTCACTTATGAAAAAGTGTAACGCTCGGTAACGTTACGATGAGTTTAAGTTTACATGTACAATGTTTTAGTAAACAAAATATATTTCTATTGTTAAAATTTGTGCAATTCTTATTTTCATTCAATTCCTTGTTCCTATTGTGCAATTTAATTATATTCATATCAATAAATATTCTACCGAGAAAAAGACGTTGTCACGTAAAATCTTCGCCCGTAAAACCGACTTTACAGGCAACCATTTTTTTTTTAAACTAACTGAAAAGTGTTAATTCAAAAGATGTAAATCTTATAATTACCTACAAAACGAACGCCGCGTACACGACCAGCCCAAACTGCGGATTGTTTTAAGTTGATTATATACTATATAGCTACTATATAATCACCTTGCACCTTGAAATTAAGCAACTTTCGCAGTGGTTGGTCATTGGATAGGTGACCAAAAATTTAATATCTCGAGCTGCTCCGTTCTTCGTAAGGCACGTTAAGCCGTTAGTCCCGGCTGCATCAGCAGTCGTTAGCACCCACCAATTCGCACTGGTCCCGCGTGGTTGGTCATGGCTAATCTCCCTATTCCATCCAAAGGGAAGGCCTGTGCTCCAGCAGTGGGGACATTAATAGGCTGATGATGATATATTGATGTTACTATCTCCCACCTGGCAGCAATCGTCCTAGAAGTCCCTGAGCTGCAGGCAGGTGCAATGCAGCGGGTCGCAGTCACCGTGGGCCGCGTACTTGGCGAGCTCAAATTTCGGATTATTTTTAAGTTTATATCAACTTACGACGTCCCACGGTCAATCCACACGGAGGGAGAGTATATTAAATGTTGAAGATAGGATATTTTACTTAAAAATATATCATTTTAATTTTTATAATTTGTAGAACTGAATTCACAGATTTAAAAAAATCGCACACCCACACATCCGGGAATCAAACTCGTGAAATGTGAAACAAAAAAATCTTAAGTAATTTAAGATGACCGTCGAGAGGGTTAATCATAAGGTTTATTATTTCCTAAATAACAGCATTTTAAATGAAAGAACAATCACGAAATTCGACTTTGACTTTTTAATAATTGAACACAAACTACAATAAAAACAAACAGTAGGTTTTCTTTATTTAATTTATCAAATGTCCAAAATGTACTCCATTCTGTAGAAAACAAATTCTCAATCTTTTAATAATTTCCCTGCCTGTCGATTAACTTAACTTTGCGTGGAGAATGTTTGAAATAATGCGTGTTAGTTTTTTTAAAATCCTGCACATCGTCGTACCGTTTTTTGTAAATTAAATCCTTTACAGAACCCCACAAAATAGCCAGTCGCATTGTAATTGTGACCTTACAAAGAAATGCATACAAGTACCTACTACAGTTTGTATAAGTATCGTTTTATTATTTTTTCACGTATTTATAATAAATAAATCTTATATTATTAAGTGCGCAGGTACTAGTCAGTAAACACATTGAAATTAAAGTATTACTTTTCCCCGTGTTGGAAGCACGTGACGGAAAGAGGAAACTTTCCTGAACAAAATTTTAATTTCATGAGCTTCCCTTATGGTTACCCCTTTTGGGTGGTTATAAGAAAATACGTCGTGTTTTTTTAAATTTCACGAGTTTGATTTCCAGTTATAAGCAGGCGATTTTCTAAAATCTGTGAAGGCAGTTCTGGTTATTATTAAAAATATAATGATGTCTTCTTTCAGTATAATATATTTCCCTCCATGTGGCAAACCTGTGGGACACCCTGTATATTTATCCTGTATATCTATCTCCCACCTGGCAGCAATTGCCCTGGATGTCCCTGAGCTGCAGGTAGGTGCTATGCAGCGGGTCGCAGTCAGCGTGGGCCGTGTAATCGGCGAGCCCAAACTGCGGATTATTTTTGTGTTGATATATCTTAATATATATAAATCTCGTGTCACAATGTTTGTCCTCAATGGACTCCTAAACCACTGAACCGATTATAATAAAATTCGCACACCATGTGCAGTTCGATCCAACTTGAGAGATAGGATAGTTTAAATCTCAAATTATAGTCGCAATTTTAATTTATTGCAAATTATTACTTTTGGGCGGTACGAAGTTCGCCGAGTCAGCTAGTATATATATATATTTATTGATGCTACTATTTCCCACCTGGCAGCAATCGTCCTGGAAGTCCCTGAACTGCAGGCAGGTACAATGCAGCGGGTCGCAGTCAGCGTGGGCCGTGTAATCGGCGAGCCCAAACTGCGGATTATTTTTGTGTTGATATATATATATATTGATGCTACTATTTCCCACCTGGCAGCAATCGTCCTGGAAGTCCCTGAACTGCAGGCAGGTACAATGCAGCGGGTCGCATTCGCCGTGGGCCGCGTACTCGGCGAGCCCGAACTGCGGATTGTTGGGAACGTAGCACTCCATAGCCCCGCCCTCTGGTGCCGCGCATCGTTACCGCGCAAGGGCGGGACCTCTCATCTCCGTTGATCTGTCAGCCCCTCAGTTTCCGCCGCTTGTAATCACGGGCTGGCATGGCTGAAAAGGATGGACTTAGTTAGTGACACACTAAGACTTTATTGCGATATTAAAACACTTTTTGATTATGTACATTCAAGCGCGGAAAGGGTCCGAAATGTCTAGAAAATTAAAAGTATTGTAATATAAATGCGCGAATGGCATGTTCAAAATAGCTTTTTAAATTAATTGCTATATTAAAAGATTAAAAACTTCAAATTGGGCTACCATCTTTAATTATAAATTACATAGAGCCTCAGATTTAGAAATCATTTTAAGGGTTCCACACTTCGTAAATGTGCGTAAATTTTACATACGCAACATTTGCCTCTGATATTGGTTACACCTACATGAAACCTTGTGCTGAGATAAATTTACCCATACTACAAATAGGTAATTCTTCAAGGACCGTTTTTTGGGGGTCACATCCTTGTTATTCTTAACCTATTGTAAATACAGTCTTAGAATCAATACCAAATTATTCTTTATTTATATCTGTACACAATTTTAATAAATAATAAGGGATATTTATTATAGAGATAACGTTAGATTTTAAAACAAAAATATATGTCGGAACCGGGAGTAAAAACACTGTTCTTCAGGTGTCGCATTCTATACGCACTCTATGGAAAAAAACTTTTATATCTTCTTGGTCTGTAAAGCTTTACTTATGTTTTATACACTCGAGAGCAACGACTCCGGATCACTTAAAGAATCTTAAAAATCTCGCAATATAAGAATGCTAGTTTAATAAAATAAATCCTAATTAATAGACAAGTAAATACTCCATATATGAAGATATTAAAACTTCTTAGTTATTGTAAAGTAATATAATAAAAAAACAATTTTGAAAAACAGACTTTCGAAGATGGAACTACCTTTTGGAAAAAGGTTTTAAATGGTTAATAAATGTTCTATTAGCCCGAAAAAAAATGTATTGTATTTTTTTTAAACCTAGAAAGCTACAAATCTTTAATTTTAAAGTAGACTTTTCATGGACATACAAAAACACTGTCGGCCATTTTAGTCTATAGATTGTCTATGCTATGACGTGAACTGTGGTAAACAAAAACTCGTAAACACGTAGAAAACTACTTTTAACTGAGTTTATAATAAAAAAAACATGATTTCTAATAAATACCACGAAAAATAAAGTAATTATCATTACTGTATTGTACGAGAATATAAAAACACATCCTTGAAGACTCCAGGAAAGTTGTGGATTAAAGAAATTAACCTACGCAACTTTATTACACTTATTCATATGTTGTATCAGTTTTATGTTTATTATTACATTGTAATACTAAATGCACTGTACTTACATAGATGCCTTGTCGTTTCTCTGCTCCGCAGAGCAGAAATCGGGGTTTAGTGCAACAAATTCACCAACCATCAATGCGTCAATTCTTGGCAGATTTGTGATTTCTGCTTTCACAAAGCCGGCATCCATAATTTGTTTAGTCAAAAAAAACTAAGTTTACTGTTTTTTTCTTTCCTAAAGTTAAAAGTGTTTTAAGATAAATTTAGTCAGACGAAAGAATCCACCTACAGTAACACGCGAATGACATTTAGTTGTTTACCACAAGAGACTAAACACTTTAAGAAATAAACATTTATTTAATACAATTCGAGATGAGTAAACTAGCCTATTACTGCATCTGTTTTTACTTTTGTTTCTAATCTGTCATTTATCATTCATATTAACCATGTCGATAGTGTTCAATATTAATTATTCAAGCTGTAATCATGTTGTTTACACCTGAAGAATGAACCAGAATTCTCAAAATTCTGGAAACCGACGGGGTCAGCGCGATACAGCCAGGACTGTCGGTGTGTCGCTGTGAACTGTACAAAGAGTTCCCCGACGTTACGAGGAAACTTGCTCTAACCTACGTAGACCAGGAACAGGCAGAACCAGGTGTACCACAGTACGAGAAGATCTATACTTGGTAAACACCATGCTTCGAAATCGCTTTCTCACGATAGAAGACCTTGGGAAAGAATCAAGCAAGCATGCATCGAAGAAAAAGTAGCCTACGGTGGTGGGTCTGTACTTGTTTGGGCCGGAATTTCTTCTGAGAGTCGCACAGAACTGGTATTCATATAAAACGGCTCTTTAACTTACGAAAGGTATATGGAAGATATTTTGAATGAACACGTTGGTCCATTTATGGTCAATTTGGGTGAGGGTGCTATTTTTCTGCATGACAATACCGGTTGGATTGTGAATGACTACTACCTTCAAGAGATGAATATTACTCGTATGGAGTGGCCAGCACGCAGCCCGGATATCAACCTGATCGAGCATGCTTGGGATGAGTTAGGGAGATGCGTAAAACAACGAAACCCTCCCCCAATACGCTTCGTGAGCTCAAAATTGCTCTCAAAGAGGAATTGGAGAATATTCCCCAAAATCGTATAAGAAACTTGGTGTACAACAACCGGGTAAACCAGTAATCGAAGCACGAGGAGGCAATACGAAGTATTAAAATTCAAGAAAATCGTAATGTTCTTCAAAAATGTCATGTTTCCTATTTTTTGTTTTAAGGCGAAGAAGGTTTTTTTGGAAATAAAATGTGGTGACTCATAAATTTTATTACTTTCATTTAAGGAGTATTTAATTGTCTAACACAATTTATTCCATTAAGCTAGCGTTCTTAGTATGCGAGATTTTTAGGATTTTTTATGTGACCCGGATTCATTATTATTATTATTATTATTTTTGCCTAAACGGTAGGACACGTCACTCCTAAACTTTGTTAAACCATTTTTTTTACATATTTTTATTTTTTATTTTATAGTCATAATTTTTATATTATTTGCATTTTTTTTGTTTGTAATGAAAAGTGACTTTATGAGTTACCTCATATTGAAGTCATTTTTCAATTTGACGATTCTGTATATAATACAGGGAGAAAAAAACAGCCCTTGCTGAGTTTCTTGCCGGTTCTTCTCAGTACAAGGTCTCCCGCCGTAGATTTGCGAACCGATGGCGTAGCTTTTCGACATTCACAAGTGCTTGTAACAGCCTAGACTGAATAAACGATATTGAATTTTGAATTTTTGAATTGCTCTCGAGTACAGGCACGAGGCACCACCTTCGTGGAGATTTGCTCTCAAAAATTATTAACCATGGTTTGGTACAAAGTTATTTTTACTTTAAAATAATTTTGCTGATTCTCATGGAGCGACACTTCTGCTGGTGTTCCTCAAGGCGGCGTTCTATCTCCACTTTATTAATTATCGGTTTATTTATTAATTCTATTTCCAAAAATATTTCTTCTTCCTACCACCTCTATGCAGATGATCTTTAAATTTATAGACAAACCCCTCTCGGTCAATTATCTGAAGCATAATGGCCATGGCCACCAATAATGATTTGCGACAAATTGTAGAGTTAAGCAAATCCTTTGGACTAGACGTAAACCTCTCCAAAATACAATGCATTATTGTAGGTAGCTCAAGGTTGATTGCAAAAGTGAATTTGCAGTTACTTCCTAACATAACTCTTGCTGGCACCAGTATTCCATTTATAGTTTCTGTTAAAAATTTAGGAATAATTGGTGATAATCGTTTCAGTTGGGTACCACAGTTACAAGCTGTTAGCCGAAAATTTTTTGCTACAGCAGCTTCTCTGAGAAGACTCCGTAATTTCCTTCCTATTGCCACCAAAATTGCCCTAGCGAATTTGCAATTACTTTCTAACATAACTCTTGCTGGCACCAGCATTCTATTTATAGTTTCTGTTAAAAATTTAGGAATAATTGTCGATAACCGTTTCAGTTGGGTACCACAGTTACAAGCTGTTAGCTGAAAATTGTTTGCTACATCAGCTTCTCTGAAGAGACTCCGTAATTTCCTTCCTATTTCCACTAAAATTGCCCTAGCATAGTTTCTGCTACTTCCTATTCTTGATTACGCTGATCAGCTTAACAAGCTTGAGCGACTACAAAATTTCTGTATACGGTTCATAATCTGCTTACGCAAATATGACCGTGTGTCTCAATTCCGATCACAGCTCAAATGGCTACCTATTCGGCGCGTCAGAATACTCACATCCTCACACTTCTCTACAATATATTGTTCAATCCTTTGTCCCCGCGCTAACTCAAAGTATGCTTTAATTACCTTCGTAATTCGAATGCGTTCTCTCTTAGGTCATGCTCTCTTAAAAATCTCTTCGGGGTTGTCGTGTGAGGCGGGTCGTTACGTTCCCTAAAAATGGTCGTGAACGGGTGCAGCCAGCGAAGATGAGTCTGCTCTTGTTACATTGGGTACTATTCATCGTTGTATTTAACTTTAATCGTACATTATTTTTTATGCCTAAACAGTAAGACATGGCATAACTAAACTTTGTTAAATCAGTTTTTTTGTAGTCATAATTTTTATATAACATTTACATTTGTAATGAGTTATGAATTGAATTTAATTAAATTGAATTCATAATTACCGGCGCCCCAACCTTCAGAACAATAACCAAAGTTGCCCTGAGCCTTAGCCGTTGCGTCGTCGTCAAACTTTCATTTTAATCAAATTGGATGGATGTTCAGTAAAACTCTTTTGGGTCGTCATATTTTTTACCTTATTTATCTGTGAAGTAAAGCGGCCAAAAATACTACAATCATATAATAAATACAACAATAATTACAAGTGATCCTATGTTTGCGGTATTGTTGCTTAACTGTCAATGATTTCAATAATATACCTATGTATGTTATATAAAAAAAAAACAGTTTTAATGAGCGTAACAGTTGACTATAAATTACATCGGGCACAGGCGGGGAAAAAAACTTAAGATTTAACAACATCTTAATTTATGCAAGGTAATTTTCTTCCTAAATATTGTTTGTGAGCTTATTATAGAGGAAAATAATGTTACTTCTTAAAAATTACCTACTTCATAAGCAAAA